CGATTAAACTTTGTTAAAAAATATAAACTTTGTGTCAATTGCTTGCGTCAGGGCCACCCCGTAAGCGAGTGTCGGTTGGGTCCCTGTCGCGATTGTAAAGAACGTCATAACAGTTTATTGCATAGGTCCACAAGTACGTCGGCGCACAGTACGCCAGTAGATGAAGTTTCTGATGAAACAATTCTTAATTTTTTCAAAATTCAGATAAGGTCAAGTGCTCTTGTCAACTGCTATGATAAAAATTTCTAATCCAAATATAGGCGAATCAGCTAAAGTTCGTGCATTATTGGATTGCGGAAGCCAGTCTTCATTTATTACTAAATCGCTAAAAGAAAAGTTAGGTTTATCTTCAAGTCGAATAAATAATATGACCGTTATTGGCATAGGTAATAATCAAGCTAGTACGGTTGTGGAGACATGCGTCGCGCGCGCAACTTCATTAATCAACAATCCATTTATTAAAAATATTCATTTTCTTGTGTTAAAAGAATTAACTAGTGAGATAGCTACGGTTCAAATAGATATTAATACGTTAAATATTCCTAAAAATTTGGCCTTAGCGGATCCGACATTTAACCAACCGTCCAAGATTGATATTTTAATCGGGGCTGACATATTCTGGGACGTGATAGGACAAGAACAGCTGTCATTAGGTTCCAGTTGTCCTAAATTGCATAATTCTAAATTTAGATGGTTGGTGTCAGGTCCATTGAGTCCAAAGAGTCTTGAAAATTCAACACGAAGTAATCTAGCCCTTATAGAACAAAACAATTCAAATAGCGAAATTGAAAAAATGCTTCCCATTTTTTGGAATTTAGAAAGCAAGAAGCAAAATATAACCGAAAGTGATGACTATTGTGAAAATCATTTCATACAAAATACTATTAGATTAGATAGTGGTAGGTTTCGTGTGAAGTTGCCTTTACAGGAATCGCCCGACCGTTTGGGTGATACGTACCTATGGTTTAGCAAAACGTAGATTTTTTAATTTAGAAAAACGATTTAGGCGAGATCCAAATATGAAATTGCGTTATTCCAAATTTATAGAAGAATATGCAGAGTTAGGCCATTTGTCTGAATGCTATTCAAAACCCGACATTTCTTATTTTTATGCCATCATCCCGTGTTAAGGGAGGACAGAGAATCAACTAAGTTACATATCGTTTTTGATGGTTCCGCAGCATCCTCCTCGGGTTATTCTTTAAATGACATTTTGATGGTAGGACCTACTGTGCAAGACTCCCTGTTCTCTATATTAATTAGAGCTCGGCAACATAGTTACGTCTTGACCGGAGACATCGAGAAGATGTACCGGCAGGTAGAGGTCGATGGTGTAGTGTTTAACTGTGTGCGATGTAAACGTTTAAATGCCAAAACATTGCGCCCAAAAATGGGATATCTCCCCACGGAGAGAATAACGCCTAGCTACCCCTTTCTGTCTGTAGGGCTGGACTTTGCGGGACCATTCATTATATTAAATAAAAAAGGTAGGAGCAGTCGTTTAATAAAATGTTATATGTGCCTTTTCGTTTGTCTGCGGTATAAATGTCTTCACTTAGAGGTTGTCACTGATCTTACCAAGGATGAATTTGTGATGACGATTCGCAGATTTATAGCCCGCAGAGGAAAGCCATCTGAAGTTTACTGTGACAATGGAAGGAATTTTGTTGCCGCAGCTAAAGAAATTGGTAGGTTTTTGTCGAATTCTGCAAAGGATTTATCTAACTTTGCAGTTCAAGAAGGAATAAATTTTATTTTCACTCCTACTTATGCTCCACATTTTGGAGGAATTTGGGAAGCTGGCGTCAAGTCGGCAAAGTACCACATTAAAAGAGTGATGGGCAATAGTCATTTAATTCTAGAAGAATTAGTCACTTTGTTTGCACAAGTGGAGGCTATACTCAACAGTCGTCCCTTATGCCCTCTCTCTTCCTCTCCCAATGACCTCCTTTTCGTGTCCCCGGAGCACTTTCTCATTGGAAGACCCTTGACAGCGCTGCCTTCGCCAAACCTGAAGGAAAGTAGTCTTCGACGCTATGCTAGGCCGGAAAAATTTCATCAGCACTTCTGGAACCGATGGCAAAAGGAATACATCAGCGAACTCCAACATCTAACAAAATGGAGAACTAACAAAGGCAGTCTAACGATTGGTGATATGGTGCTCCTGCAAGAGGATAACTTGCCTCCTTTATGCTGGCGTCTTGGACGGGTTACCAGACTATTCCCTGGATACGACGGAATCGCGTGAGTAGCTGAGCTCAACACGCTAAGGGGCTCCGTGCGGCGACCCTTGTTGGTTCGGCTGTGCCCGCTACTGACTGAAGAGCAAGTTAATTGTTGAAAGAATGCTTTCAACGCGGCGGGACGATGTTACGGCTCGTCGCCTTCATTGATGAGGATTATTATTTTGTACAAAGGAGGTCGAATGACCTACGCATGTTTTATTCTTTTTTAATTTGTCAATGTCTTTTTCTGTTCTGTTAGCCGTTGTCAAGGCTGTTTTAATATATAATGTTTCTTACTTACAAAATAGCACTACAAAAGTTATTATTCATCTAAAGAATAGGTTTATTTGGATCCATTGTGTCAAGACAAGACATACATTATACAGGGTGTACCATAAAACCAAAACTAAAGGTCACACAGTAAAGTGTTGTACCTCATTTGAATCAGCATCAAATCAGCAAGTTTTTTTAATACAGGATCACTTTACTGTAATACATTTTTTTTTCACATGGTGCTCCTAAAGTGAGAAGTAATTCTTTGTAACGCTTCAAAATTTACGAAAAAAAATTCATTGCTCGTTAAATTTGGTACCAAGAGCTCCAAAACAATTTTTGTAGTATTGATACATAATCCGGTCATAATACAACACCTTTTGTTTTATTGTGTTTAATCAAATTATTTTTTTATTGATTAAATTGTAAAAAAACTCGGTAGATTCATTGAAAAAAACAAAAATATTTATAACTTTTCGTGCAATGAAGTTATGGCCATGCTGTAGAAAGATTTTTTGTTGGAAATAACCTTCTTTATCTCCCTGTTTCGTTTGATCCACGACTTTTTGACCACCCTGTATATTAAAGCAGCATTGACAACGGTTGTGTATTTCAGTAAAAATAATTAAATCAAAAACTCCATTTTCAAGTTGCCGCGAAAACGTTTTCTGGACAATATGGCGTCTTACTAGTGTGTGACGTCACACGACTGCTATTAAAACGTCAAACGATACAATGTTATGTCACTTTAACCGGAAGTTTACTTGCGTGCGACGTCATTTTTGGCACCGCCAATCCCAAGCGTTTTGGGTCACGTGACAGTAGATAAGAAAACTATTATCTTTTTCGTGGGTTTTTAGTAAAATTATGAATATTTTTTTGTAAAAATAGTAAAAACCCAAGCCAATATTCATTCTAAACACAGATGCTAACAATTGGCACTTTATTTTTAATACTGTCAAATATCCTATTATATGCCAGTTCACGCTTGACAGTTGTTTATTTACCACACAGTTCACACAATTAACATACAATATTAATTACAAAACACTCACTAAACACTGTATTTCACTATACAAGTCTCTAAACAATCGCACTTGAACACTTTTGTTGCACCTTGATCGCCTTTGGATTCGCTCCGAAATCGCTGTTGAAACTCGAACTGTCTCTGCGCCGCGCCAATCGCGCTTATATACGCCGATCGACGCATTCTAGAAAGTACCTGTTAAATTGAGAGTTAGCTAGAACCCGCGAGTACGTAGTACCTACTTATACCTACGCAAGTAACGCGCATAACTTGTAAACAAGTGCAGATGTCGGTTCACTTTTTCTCTTACGCCGCACTGCATAAGGCTCATTTTAGAATTAGCCGCATTAATCGACCTCTACTGTGCTCTGGCACATTCGATCTCTAGCACTTTCGCGGTTCCGTTTCGAGAGCGTTTGTGACAATGAGAAGAAGAGAGAACAATGATAATGTGAGTTTTAATATGCAATAATAATTTCGAATTGTTGCACAATCAAATAACGACTACTAATTTTTAGAAACCATGCAGTAGTCGTTAACAGATTTTATATGAAATTATATTTGAACAATAATATTATCGACTTTCTTCACGCTCGTATCACTCTTGTTAGAGTGGTCGTGATCGCGATGAGGTATCTGGGGAGGGGGTAGATGTAGCTCGCTTAACGATTTCCTGCCACCTAGCTCTATTCGTGGACTGCCTAGTGTATTCATTAATAGGGTCTCCAATTGCATAGGTGACTTGCCACGAGATCTGAGCCATTCCACTTTTCCTTGTTTCTCGTTGAAGAGCGGCGACCCGATGCAAGTTACCTGTGGCGTGCCGACCGAATCTGCCTGTGGACCCGTCGGATACATTATCCATGTCAACAGTATGTGTAACGTAGTTGAGAATTGCCGTATGTACATGTATGCTGATGATATACATATATATATATATATACACACATATATGGGTGATTCTCAGATAAGAGGTATGATCGACGGCTAAGCCAAAAAAATCATTATATTTGGAAATTATGGTCTAATATCTTAATCATTTCAATTAAGTAAATGTGTTCTAAATTGTCACTTAAAATTATGTTCTAAATGTGCATACTTTACTTACAATAACAGCACAAAGAGGAAAAACATCTCTCCCCTGGTCTGTCCCTTAACCGTTTTTTTTGTAAATCAGTAATTTTGAGTCCATTGAAATTTAATTATTGCTTTTCTATCGGTAATAACATGAATCCTGATAACTTAGTTACAGTATGTAACCATTAAATTCATTTATATTTGCACTTTTTATAAAAAATATTAATCGCAAACTGTGTCCTCCGAGTTTCATGTCTCGCCCCCTGGCCTTAGGTTTAGTTTGAAAATCGTATTTGTTTACCATAGTCTGTGGTAGTTTTGACCTTGAAGACACCAAGTGTCACGTGAAGTTAGCAACAAGCGCTGCACAAGCCATCCGCGCGGCAATTTTTCGGCCATTTGCGCAACGGTGCTCGATGAGTGCAGCTGTGTTAACTGATCGAACTATTTACCCTGGTAAGTTTTATTTCGTATTTATATATTTAAATACTACAATATCTATATAAATATATTTTAAATAGTGCTGCAAACTTTTTATTTATTTGTAATCTTTGTAAAATTAGTAGTTTTACGGCAATTTTAGATTTTTAACAAAAATGTCTCTCCCCTGCGATATTTCCCCTGGCTGTTATGGTGCCAGGGGAGATACCAAATGTCCAGGGGAGATACATATGCGTCCAATTTGAGTTAGTTTAAGGCTTATACGAGCTCTTTGTTCATTAGTATATATATATATATGTCGGAGGGGCGAGCGGGATAGGCTGTTGGCCACGTGATTCGTCTTGATCCGCCATCTTGGTTATTCAATGATATTTCCCGAAAATAAAACTGTAGTCTAGTGACCAAGCTAACGTTTAATTTGAATCTTCTAATCACTTTACAAAATATGATATGATCACAAGGGTACAAATGGATTGCTTTGCGAAGCGTGGAGAGTTCTCTGCTAACGTACGTTCACTATCGCGGCTCACGTCTGAATGCTGAATGCCAATGAAGCATAGCCCCTTAAATACTACCCTTAGCATAGACCACTCTCAAGTGATGACAGCTGTCACTGTCATTACTTGACGTTTCACAAGGCAATGGTACACTGACTGATGATATTTGTTGCCATCCGCCGACATATATATATATATATAATATAGGATAGTTATACAGTATTAAATGTTATTTTCAGAGAAAGATGACGGCTTGAGAAAAAACGTATTGCGGAAAGATTAAGATACCAACGAATAAAAAATGACCCTGACAAATACGCAAAATAAAAATAAATAATGAAAAGAAGAAAGAAAAAGGATCTATTAAGACAGTGAGCAAAATGACACCAAGAGAACAGAGGAAAACTAGGAAAATGTGGAGAGAAAAGGCAAAGCTTCGAAGACGTCGTTTAGCGCTCCAAGACGCAAGCAATGCCCCTATTACTGCACCTTCTTCGGACGCTGAAAACATACCGCCGCCACCTCCGCAAAATTTAAATAGACGGGCGCAAGCTGCGCAGCAAAAGTCAATTCGTGCGAGAAATGCTCGAAATTTGAAAATAAAAATACAAGCAGCCGAAATAGCAAAACTTAGATCTACAGTCCAGCGCTACAAAAAACAAATTCAACGCTTTAAAAAACCACGAGCAATACCACTATGCTCCCCCAACACTAAAGTTACAGCACTAGTCAAATCTGTTTTACCTTCTCGCGAAAAGGAAAATATAAAGAAAAAACTTCTTTTCAGTGAAGTTGTTACCCAACAACTTAACGAAAACTTATCAAACTTCACGACTGATAAAGAAAAAAGAATGTTTAGGAGGATCATAAGCGGTTAATTGTAAAAAAATACAAGGCTGTACAATCAACAATCAAAATGAAACCTTTAAGTAAAATAAGCAAAAATCTAAGACTTATAGACGGAAATCGTGCCTCAAGAAGAACATGCGACAGTTTGAAAGTAAGCAGAAGCGAGTCATGCAAGATACTTTACTCAACTTACACAAACGTTTTGTGAAAGAGACAGGCATAAAAGTTTCTTACCCTATGTTCTGTAAACTCCGACCTTTTTGGATCATTCAGCGACGGTGCGACGATCGTAACACTTACTTGTGTGTTACACACAGTAATTTTGATTTTATACTGGAGTCACTCTACAACGCTAAAATAATATCTACCTCGAATTACGTAGATTTTCTTAATCAAACCTGCTGTTACCGGTTTAATGAACAATGTTTATCAAGAAAGTGCAAGATGTGTCTTAACAAGAGTCTACATTACAAGGAATTTGATGACTCCATTCCACTGACTTACAGCAAGTGGGAAAGTGTACGCCAAGACATCATTGATCCAAAAACTAAAAAAACACGGACTGTAACAAAATGCGTAAAAAGCATATTACAGATTAAACCACGCGACTTGATTATGGACTTGGAGTCGAAGATGCAAAAGTTCTTCCACCACGAACTAAATAAAGTGCATCAATACAACGCTATGCAAACAAAACAACAATGCCTTACTGAATATGAAGCCATTATACACGTTGATTTTAGTGAAAATTATCAGACAAAATATGCTGAGGAAATTCAATCCTTCCATTTTGGAGGATCCTGACAACAAATAAGTCTACAACAACAACTACAACACACTGTTGTAGTCTACAGTAACGCTGAGGAAGAGCCAAAAACTGAATGTTACTGCTCTTTATCAAAAAATTTGTCGCACTCGCCTCCTGCAATTTGGCCCCATTTGCAGCCCATTCTTGACAGATTACCAACTACTGTCACCAACTTGCACTTTCTGAGCGATGGCCCCGTTACCCAATATCGTAACAAAATGATGTTTAAGGTTTTGGCAACAATGCTCGTAGAATTTTACCCAAACCTACAAAACTTTACATGGAACTATCACGAAGCAGGTCACGGAAAGGGGGCTGTCGATGGAGTGGGTGCGACTTGCAAAAGCGCGGCTGATAGACAAGTCGCATGTGGCTCCGGTATTGCATCATTAGAAGACTTAGCCACAACCATTGAGAAGACCTGTCCTCATATTAAAGTTTTTTCACGCAAAATGAAGAAAAACTTGGATCTATTGGTGAGATCAAAACTTTTTCAGGCACACTAAAAGTTCATCAAGTTATCGGTTGCGTATTTAAATCCAATTACTTGATATTGAAAAGTTTGTGTTGCTTTTGTGACTCTGAGGTATGCAGTCATTTTAGATTGGGTACCCAATGGACTTTCCACAAGCTATTCCAGAATCTCGTCTCCATGTTGATGAAGTATATAGCACTAGTGATTCAGATGACGAACCACTAATTATATTAGCATCAAAGAAACGAATGCAGAAATCACAAGAATCGATACACCTTCCAGGGTTAGCGGCTAAAAAGACGAGAGGTTTGAAAGATAACCCAAAGCCTAAAATATATAATAAAAATAACGTTGATTCTATATATTAACTATGTATTTTTATTCCTTAAAGTCTCTTCCCTGCTCACAAAAGTATCTCCCATGTCCATCTTGTCTCTACCCTGTACTCAGTATCTCCCCTGGTGTCTCGGAAAACGAGAATAAATTAAAAAAATGACTGATCATCTTAAAATCATATTAAAATCATCTGTCGTGATAAAAATAGTGGTATAGTTATATACATATCGACGCTTTTTGCTGTGCCGCTGCTTCCATACAACCGATTACCTCTGAACTGAGAATCACCCATATATATACACATATATATGTATATATATATATATATATATATATATATATTATACATATTTTTTTAGGTCGTTTTGACATCTAGGTCAAGAGCGACCACATTTTAATAATGTAAACGAAGCTTAAACTAAGTTATACATATTTATAATTTTTAAGAATTTCAGTGTTCGGGTGTATCCATCTTGGTTTAAACAATCTTTTAAATTATTTGGTACATTACATAATAGTTTTTCGTTATCATAATAAGTGCATTCTATCAAAAGATGGTTATCAGTTAAATCAAATCCGCACTTGCATTTGTTTCTGGGAGCTGTAGTTATCAAATGGATGTGAGTTATGTTTGTATTCCCAATACGTAATCTGGTAACTACTACGTCATCTTTTATACAATTAAACATATTTATTTATTTATTTTTGAGAAACCAACAGCGATACAAATAGATATTACATAATTGAACTTAGTAATAAGAATGGCCAATAACAGGTTTCTACGAATTAAATTAGGTACAAAAACTGTCGTTGTGCAGGCTAAACTAAGGTTACATGTAGGTATGCATTTAATAATGCCAGGTCGCGTGAGAACGTTGCAAGGCGGCTATAAGTGTTGATACTTTAATTTGGAAATTATATTGGTTTTGACAGCGCTTTTAGTATTTGAGAAAATGTCTATACCACTAAAAAGTCTTTTATATAAGACAGGTAAACGAGTCAGAATTGCATTTGCTCCATACAAAGTAACATGTGGTGGAGTAGCAAATAACGGGGTGATTCTAGTACGACGCTTTGGGGTACAGAGTTTAATGTTAGCTAAAAGTTCAGGGGTATCAATATTGCTTCTTACGATATCAAACAGAAAGATCATATCCGATAGTATCCTACGCTCTTCAAGAGTTAATAGTCTCATTTTTATGGCAATTATCGACATAATCGGATGAGCGACAAGTTCCCATGTAATTGAGGTATCTCATAAAACGGCTTTGTATTCTGTCAATTCTATTTACGTGCGATTTGTAGAAAGGAGACCATATATTACTACAATATTCTAGCATACTTCTTACATAGGCAAAGTAGACCACTTTTAAAATAATCACATCCTTAAAAGGTGCACAAGTACGTATAACGAATCCTAAATTACTGTAAGCTTTAGCAACGATGGCATCTATGTGATTTACTAGCTGCATTTTGCTGTCAAAGAGAATGCCCAGGTCCCTTATTACTTCCACCCTACGAATGGAGAATCCGTCAAAATTGCAACTAAATGTGAGACAAGAGTTTTTCCGAGTGAATGTTATGCACTCACTTTTATTAATGTTGATTGATATCTTATTCACAACGTAAAAATCGTATAGCTTATTTAGATCCTCTTGCAGCAATATACAGTCATCAATAGTTTTAATAGACATATATATTTTCATATTATCTGCATATAGTAAGTAACAAGCGTTTTTTATACAATTGTATACATCATGAATATACGCATTATACATAAGAGGATCAAGGTGGGAGCCTTGTGGCACACCTGAAGGTATATCTATCCAATGAGATCTATATCCACTCATAACAACAGCTTGCGATCGATTATACAAATACGATTCTAGCCAACGCAAAAGGTCTCCGTGACTACTAAGTGAGTAAAGCTTAGAGAGCAGGATCAAGTGATCTACCCGATCGAAAGCCTTTTCAAAATCGGTGTAGATGACGTCAACCTGCCCTCCACCCTCCATACTACTCAAAACAAAATTTGAAAAGCAAGCCAAATTTGTGGTGGTTGAACGTTTCTTCATGAAACCATGTTGTGCGTGCGATATGCCTTCAGAAATACCTGGGTAAAGGTGTTTTAAAACGGCCTTCTCTAAAAGTTTACTGATAGTACACAAAATAGAGATCGGCCGATAGTTTTTAATATCCGGTTTTTGAACCCTTTTTATGTACGGGGATTATGTATGATTTTTTCCAAATGGATGGGAAAGTGCAATCCCGTAATGAGCGCGCAAAGATCATAGTGATAGGAGTTACCAAAGTAGATGCACAGTGTTTCAGAAGAATGGGGGGAATTTAATCACATCCGGAACCTTTTGTATGGTCTACAGTTTCCAATAAGCGAAGAACTTCTGTTCGGCTTACTTCAATCTTTGATAGACAGTGAGTTGCTAAAATACTATAACTTCTGTCTGAGACAGAAAGGATATTTAAATTAGTTGTCGATGCTACATTATATACACTTTGAAAAAAACTATTAAAGGCGCTGCAAATACTAACGCCATTGTTAAAAGTTTGGTCGCCTAAAGAAAGTTGTTGTGGGTAGGTCGTACCACCCCGTTTTGACTTAACGTATTTCCCGAACATTTTTGGGGTAGATTTTATAAGTCGTTCACAATCATTGAAACATTGACGCTGCACTTTATGACGTCTCCTGCGCAATAACGAGTATTCAGCATAATTACGTGGGTTGTTGAATCTCTTCCACCGACTATGTAACTTTGAACATTCTTTAATGATTTTGAAGTTACTAGTGACCGGCTGTACCATACAGGGTACTTACTATTAGTCGGAAAAGTTTTCGGTACGTACAACCTAATTCCAGTCAATAATTCTGCATAAAATTGAGATACAGCTATGTCTAAGTCTACCGCAGTGTCAATAAAGCTCCAATCAGCTTGTGCAATATATTTGTTTAACTTAACAAAATCAGATCTAAAAAAATTAAATCGGGGTTCACATTTACTCATTAATGATTTTGTAAAAACATCAGGCATATCAATTAAAAACGGTGGGTGGTGAGGGTCTACACGAACTACTGGAGATGTACATATTGATACAGATCGGTACCTGTTGCTAAAACATAAATCCAATAATTTATTATTCTGATTGAGAATATGATTATACTGTATCATACATACTTTCAAATAACATATTTTCTAATAAAATTGTTGAAGCATTTTGTAAGTTAATCGATGCTCCGGAAGATGTTATATAAAAGTCACCAATATTTTCCCACCTTATAAAAGACAAATTGAAATCGCCGAGTATTAAGAAATTGCAAGTTCGATATTCAGATATCAGTTTGGAAATAATTACATCTACACATTCTACGGTGGTGTGCTGAGCGCCAGCGTCAGGTGGTATATAAACAATAAAAATAATTAAATCTTTGTCGGTAGAAAGCTTAATACCGGGTATACGCAAGCACAAACATTCGAATATTGACGCAACGGAATAGGTAACAAGTGTTTCTGCGCAATACTGAACCTTAACGGCTATCACTCCGCCACCTGTTTTTTTTATTGGAAACTGTTAAATTACGATTGCATCGGTAACCATTATAGTATCGCAAAGCTCATAATCGAGAATGTCATTTTGCAGCCCAGTCTCCGTAAATATGAGTAAATCGTAATCAAAGAATATATTGTTAAAAAGATCTAGTGTTTTAGAGCGTAGGCCACGAGTGTTTTGGTAGTAAATACTTATATTTTTACTATTACGTAGCCATTCCTAATTATATACATTTTTTGAGTAATTAGTAGTAAAAATTGTAAGATATCGTAAGAAGTCATAACAAAAAACTTGTAGTACGGTTGGTTTAAACACCCTGAACAAAGCAGCTTGTAGAAAAAAATAAAAAGTAAGTAATTAAGATAATTTAAAATTGCTGTCGAGCTACAAACACGAATTAGTGATAAAAACACCTTCGTCTTATGATAATACGTAAAATAAAGCGTAAAAAACATTATTAAACTATATGAATAGATGTTTATGTTAAATAATTTAACAATTAATCCGCCGGATTGTGTTGTGTATTTAAATACTGAGACATAATTATTGTAAATAAAATTAAAAAGCCTTGCAACACTCCTATCGCAACACAATACGTTACACACACTAAAGAAACAAAGTATAAAAACTATTCAAAAAATGATAACACTACCGGTATCAAAATAAAGTAATTAACCAGTTGTTTATCAAGTATTCCTTCCAAACAACAACAAAATAAAATTATAATTAATGTATTTTCTCCAAATCCGTGTCGTTTTGTATTCTGGTAATAGCAGAGGAGTCGTCTTTTCGCATAAAAATATTGCAGTTTTTTATCCAAACATATTTGTATAATTTAGATTTAGCAACTCACGGCATTTATTAAACAATTGTTTGTTATCGACCGTCAGATGTTCGTTAACATACATATTTAGACCTAGATGCAGAAAACTCATTAAATGGACTGAAATAGGAACCCTAACCACTACCGCCACAAATCCAGGCCTTTCAAAAAAGTTGCCTAGCTTTTTACGTTGAACTAGTTCACCAAATCATTAAGAGATTTGATCTCACTGACGCACTTTTCGACCTCTTAGATAAAGTCGTATATTTATTTATTTTCATTTGTATATCATTTTCATATTTGTATATCAAAAAAGACTTAGGAAAATTATCACACCAGTCTCTTGGAAGTCATCAAACGTTTTCCTATCATAGCTGCCCATGTAAACGTCCAAAATTTGCATAGAGAATGGACGAGCCATGCTTTGCTAGACTCTGCAGATGACAACACTCCTTCGAAAGCTGAAGAATATTGGAAAAGCATTTTTAAAATTATAGATCTTGCGACCAACTGATTCTACCTCAATTTACAGAAAGTTGTAAACTTTCTTTTCGTCCTGCCATTTTGCAATGCATGTGTAGAAAGGATTTTCAGCCAGCTAAATTTAATAAAAACGGAGAATAG